ACACACACACACACACACAAAGTGCAGCATCTATGATGGGGCGGTTTTCAAATTGAAGGTTAAATGTTAAATTCACTGTCTTTGTTTGAACATGCTTATATCATTCTCTGCATATTTGCCCTTTCAGAAACGTTCCCCAGCACAATGAAAGGATAGGTTCATTCTCAGGCCTGAGCTCCAATTTATTATTTTGACACTTAAAATACTTTTGAAATTCAGCATCAATCACTTTGTGTCATGCTTGCCTGGGGGAAAAATGCAACTGATTTCCAATGCTATTTCAAAAATGAAATGATGAAATTAACCATAATTTGATTTGGCGAATGGCTAAATTTAAATAAAATCTGAGCACTACTCTTTTGATGAGACTGAGGGGGAAACCATTAAAGAAATAAAGCAGCACTTTTTAGATTGACACAAGACTTGCTTTTGAAAGGGTATTTGACACATAAAACATCATGACTGTAAGTTTTTCATAAATGTTTCATGAATATATGAGCATATCTAAGGTTCTGTTACAGGTAACCCGTTTTTTTTTTTTTTTAAGTATTTTTACGTTTTTTTAATTCATTTTAAAGAGCCCTACAGTTGACTTTTTAAAAAATCAGTAATGAATTTTAAAACTACAAACATTCTGTGTAGTCTTTCAAATAATATAAGGTTATAAAACACATTTTCATCATAATAAAATTAATTTATGATTAATTTAAAAGTATATTTTAATTTTAAAAGGGTATTTTAATTTGGTATACCATTTATTGCATTTATTTATAGTATTTAGCATAGCATTCCAACTCTCTAACAGTACTGTACCTAATTACAGTTAAATGTACAGTAAAAAATTAATTATGCTGCATAAATATCTAGTATTTGCACACACACTCATGCACACGCGCACACACACACACCAGCTTTAAATTATATCGATAGACCAGCCCAAAACCAGCCCCAATGTGTTTTTAGTCATACGACACAAAAATACACTACTACAAAATGTCACCTGGTCTGAATCATGGTTTTTATTTTTATTACTTTGATACATGAGCCTTTTGAGAAAGAAACAGTGAAAAGCAGAAGTGTCCAAGAGGCGTGATGGTGTATGGGTGCGCTGGGTACTTAAATGAACAGCACTGAGCAGATGTAATGGAAAGGAAAGAGAGAGGAGCAGTTACGCAGAGTCAGCACAGATGGGAGCAGCGAAGAGAGAGAGAGGAGTGAGATGGGGCCGTAAAAGATCTGCTGAAAGAAAGCAAGAGCCTTGTGACTTTGGGCCAGATTGATTTTAGCCGTGAAGACCAGGCGACCACACCTCCCACACCACCCACTCCAGGTCAGACTGGGGTCCTGCGGCAGGAGAGAGATAGGAGCGGGTGCAGGACGCCCCCGGCTTTAAGGGTCAGGTGAGGTCTATCTGGCAGCTGCTTAAACCTGCCCCGCTACTGACACAAGCACTGTACAAAACGCCCTAGTCCTGAGGGGGAACGCAGACAAACAGCGTTAGTAAAATGTGCTGGGAAAAGCGCGCACACACACACACACACACACACACACACACACACACACAC